AATAAAGGAATCAGGGAAAAGACTAATTATAATAAAGTAAAAGTCAAATTCAACAAGCAACTATAAACCAGAGACATACTATTGGGGGGGGGATTAGGGTCAAAATAAGGGGGTGTAGGAATTGTATGGGGACTATAACCAAGATGAAAATGCATACATTGTATAAAAATGAAAAATTATGTAAAAACATATGAAAGAAAATAAATTAAAAATAATTTTAATGATCAGGACTCCCTGGTGGCACAGGGTTTAGTCTCAGCACCTTCAAGCTATGGCCAGCTACTGCAGCATGAGTTCCATCCCTGACAGGGGAGGTAACCCACATGGTGCAGTAGACCTCTCTGGTCTCACCTGCTGCTCCCCTCAGCCGTGTATTTCAGTAAATCTGCCTGCTCTGCTCCCCACTCTGTCTCTGGTGAATCGTCTCAACCCCCATACCTCTGGCCTATACCCCAGTTCTTGTATGCATAAATAAAAATAAATCTTAAAAAAAATTAAATGATCATATATCCCTCTAAAAAAGCAAAACCAAAAATGTTTACCATCTCCATTCTTATCTAAGTTCCAAATTAGTTTCATAATCTATTCTTTGGAAATTTTAAAATCTGATTTTTTTTTTAGATTGCATTATATTTACTGAGGTAATACAGATTAACAACACTGTATATGATTTAGAGGTACAGGATCACACCTATTCAAGTGTATGTTTCTATATCATGTCCACACCAAAGCCCCAATAATCCTCCACCATACTCCACTGAGCCCCCTCCCCACTTTGCTCTCCACACCTCTTCTTCCCCTTCTGCTAGCCTCAGCTCTGCAGTCATTTCTAAGATTCATTTTGGTTTAGTTTCTTTACATTCAAAATGAATAAAATTATCCTGTCTTTGTCATTCTCCTTATTTCAGTTAGCATAATCCTCTCCAGTTCCAGCCATCTTGTCCCAAATGGCAGAAGCTCATCTTTTTTTTAATAGTTGAGCAGTATACCATTGTGTGTGCACACCACGTCTTTATCCACTTATTGTTGGGGACTGAGGTTGTTTCCATAGCTTGGCTATTGTAAAGGGCACTACAATGAACCTAAGTGCATATATCCTTTTCTAATTACCATTTTTGTATTCTTTGAACACCGAGTTAACTTGTTGGATTATATGTGGGTCTTTTACTATTTTAAGAAAACTCTAGTATTTTTCTTAAGGCTGATATTCCCGACAGTGTAAGGGGGTTTCTTCTTCTTCAAACCCTCACAACCCTTGTTTTTTCCTGGTCTTTTTTGATATGGGCCAGGTATGAAATGATATTTCATTGTGGTTTTGATTTGTACTTCCCCAATGATAAGTGACAATGAACATCTTTTTATGTGCCTTATTGGCCATCTGTATGTCTTCTGCAGAGAAGTATGTATTTAGTCCTACTGCCCATTCTTTATTTGGGTTTTCTTAATGAGTGTGAGTTTTTTGTAGTACTTGGATATTAGCATCTTGTCAGATCTATAATGTGTAAATATTTTCTCCTATTCAGTAGGATCTTTAGTTTCAGTTTGCTATAGGCCCATTTATTTTTATTTTTGTTCCCTCTACTATTCTAATAGAATTCCCAAAGATATCACTGAAGAAATGTCACAGATAGCTTTGCCTATGTTTTCTTCTATGTGTTTTATGGTTTTAGCTCTTACATCCATATCTTTAATCCATTTTGAGTTAATTTTTGTATATAGTGTGAGGTAGTGGTCCAGCTTTCACAACATATTGGTGAAAAATACTCTTTTCAGGCCTCCCCTGGTGGTGCAGGCGGTTGAGTGCCATGTTGTAAAGCTGTCCGCAGCCTCTGCAGTGCCAGTTCAATTCCAGCTGGCTAGCGAGGGTCCCACATGGCGCAGCAGACCTCTCCTGTCTCACCCACTGCTCCCCTCAGCAATGTATTTCATCAGTCTCTCTGTTCTGTTCCCCACTCTCTCTGGTGAATCCTCTCACCCTCCTGCGCATCTGGCTTGTACCCCAGTTCTTGTGTAAAATAAATAAATAAATCTTTAAAAAAAAAAAACAACTTTCTTTTCTCCAATGTATACTCTTGGGTCCTTTGTTACAAATTAACTGTCCATGTAAAGGTGGGCTTATTTCTGGGCTCTCAATTCTCTTCCATTGATAACATGTGTCTATTTTTTTCTCAATACCATACTGTTTACATTAATATTATACCTTTGTAGTATAGTTTAAAGTCTGGGAATGTGATATTATGCTTCTTTTTTTTTCATTTATGCATACAAGAACTGGGGTATGGGCTAGAGGTGTGGTGGTGAGAGGATTCACCAGAGACAAAGTGGGAAACAGAACAGGCAGAATGACTGAAATACACTGCTGAGGGGAGTAGCGGGTGAGATAGGAGAGGTCTGCTGTACCATGTGGGCCACCTCCCTGGCCAGGGATCGAACTCGTGCTGCAGTGGCTGGCAATAGCCTAACAGCACTGTGCCATCAGAGAGGCCCCTTATGCTCCTTTTTTCGTCAGGATTGCTTTTGTGATTCCATATAAACTTCAGTAATGTTTGCTCTATTTCTTTGAAGAATTTCACTTTGATAGGTAGTGCATTTAATCTATATATTGATTTGGGTAAGATGACTCTTTTAACAATGTGATTTCTTCCAATCTATGAGCAGGGAATATTTTTTCATTTCTTTGTATCTTCTACTTTTTTAAATAATGCCTTATAGTTTTCATTAAATAGGTCTTTCATAAATTTTTAAATGCCATAAATTTTTCTGTACTGATTTTGTAGCCTGCCATTTCACTGTACTAATTTATCGTTTCTACTGCTTTTATTGGAGTTTAGGATTTTCTATATATATATTATCATACTGTCTGCAAATAATGATAGCTCTATTTCTTTTTTAACTTGGACTCTTTATTTCTTTCTATTGTCTAATTGCTCTAGGTAGAATCTCGAATACTATGTTGAATAGTAATAGTAAATGTGGACATTCTTCCTTATACCTAACTTAAAAGTTTTCAGTTTTTTTACCAGTGAGTATGATCTTAGTCATGGGAATGTCATGCATTGTCTTTACTATGTTTAGGTACATTCCTTCTTTCCCCATTTTATTGATAGTTTTTTTTATCATGAGTGGATGCTGAGTCTTGTCAAATGCTTTCTTTGCATCTATGGATATGCTCATATGATTTTTATCTTTCCTATTGTTGATGTGGTGAATTACCCTGATTGATTTTCATATGTTGAACCATCCTGGTCCCTGGAATAAATCATACTTGGTCATGATGTATGATCCTTTTAATGAACACTTGAATTCAGTTCGCTAAGATTTTGTTGAGGATGTCTACATCTATGTTCATCAGGGATATTGGTGCACAGTTTTCTTTTTCTGTGATGTCCTTGCCTGCTTTTGGTATCAGTGTAATGTTGGCCTCATTAAACCAGTTTTCAAGCATTCTCTCCTTCAATTTTGGGAAAGAATTTGAAAAGGACAGGAATTAGTTTGTCCTTGAAGGTTTGGAAGAACTCACTAATAAACTATCTGGCCTTGGACTTCTACTTTTGGGAGACTTTTGAATATTGTTTCAATTTCCTTGCTGTAATTGGTTGGTTCAGGTTTTCTATTTCTTCCTAATTCAGTCTGGAAGGTTTGATGCTTCTAAAACTTTTCCATTTCTTCTAAGTTATACAATTAATTGGCATAAAGATGTTCCTAATAGTCTCTTATGGTGCTCTGTATTTCTGAGATGTCTGCTGTAATTTCTCCTTTCATTTCTGATTCTATTTATTAGTGTTTTCTCCTTTTTTTTTCTCAGTGAGCCTAACTAGGTTTGTCTACTGTATCTTTTCAAAGAACCAGTTTTTTATTTCATTGATCTTTTGTGATATCTTTTAAATTTCTGTTTCACTTATTTCCACTCAAATTTTTATTATTTCCTTCCTTCTCATAGCTTTTGGCTTTTTCTTTTTCTAGTTTCTTAGAGTGTATGGTTATCTATTTGAGATCTTTCTTGTTTCTTGATGTGGGTCTGTATTGCTTTATATGCCCCTCTTACTACTACTTTTGCTGGATCCCATAAGTCTTGGAGCCTAATTTCTAATTTTACAGGTCAATTAGTATTTTTAGAAAATTGTTCAGAATGACATGTTTTACTTACCCTGTGTTATTTCTTATTACCTTACAGTTAATTTAGTTCAATTATCCAAATGAATTAAATGATGCAATTTCCCTATATCTCCTCCCTTTTTGTTCAATACATGAAGACAAGTATAGCAAAAACACAGGGGAATTAAATGGTTAGTATATAAATTTTAGCTGTGTTTCTAATCTGCAATAAAAGTTTGTGGAAATCATTTCACCTGGTTGGATTAAATTTAAGAAACTGTACTGATAATCTTTGCTTTTATTACCTCTAACTTCTTCATGGGGTAAAGAGCTACTAATAGAAGATTCTTGCAAAAACAAGATTAAACAAGGTATAAACATGTCTTCATGTAGACTTTCTTTGCTCATTCAAGCACTACAATTAAGCATTAGCATTAATAGCTAATGCCACTGAGGAACTGAATTTTTTAATTTAAGTTCAATTGATTTACTATTCAACAGCCATAGATAGACCTATGGGCTTCTAAACTGGACAGTAGAATTCTAGATCATGCAAAAGTCAAAGTCATTTCTAGGCAGAGAATCCCTAAGAATGTGTTTTGCCATGTATGTCTCTGTCACTGTGGGTAAGTGGGCTGGATAGTAAAAGTGGGCAAGTTTCAACTATGACAGGCACCACTGAGAGGTAGGGATTAACACTTCATTCTCTCTCATCAGACAAAGCCATCTACATCAATACTTTTTGCCACTCTCTCTATATTCTTCAGGCTCTATACTATTACCCGGTAAGTCACAATCAAAACATGTTCTAAGTGCCATCTTAACAATAGTCACATTTATAACAGACTGCTAGTGTATTAAATTAAAGCTTAAAGAGCCTCCAGAAAAATGTCAAGAAAGCATACCTTGGCATCACAATTTCCAACAACTTCAATTTTTTCTGCTTTCAGTTCCACATTTTGCCTTTTGGATGGACTTTTTACCAGCTGCCCTTGAACTTCTACAGAACTCCCAAAAGCTAGTTCTCTATAATAATAAAACATAGCATAAACAAGGTATGATTATATGTAACCCTTCATTTTAATACAAACCTTGCTCTCAGAATATCAAACTTTTTTTTTTTTTTTAAGATTTATTTATTTATTTATACAAGCACTGGGTACAGACAGAAGCGCGGGAGGGTGAGAGAATTCACCAGAGCCAGAGCGGGGAGCAGAGCAGGCAGAAGGACCAAAGTACACTGCTGAGGGGAGCAGAAGGCGGCAGGAGAGGTCTGCGCGCCATATGGGACCTTCCTCCGGTGGCTGGGGAGCAGCCGGGGATCGAAACGGCGCCGCGGAGGTTTCGGGCAGCTTCGCAACCCAGCGCTCAACCGCTGTGCCACCGGGGAGACCCTATCAAACTATTTAATGACACAAGTTTTTACCCTTAGTTGGATTAAGAGTTTCAGGTTAAGAGAGCAAAGGACAGGTGGAAGATACAGTCATATGAAAATGTTACATCAAGGAAGAAAGGCTCAAACTGGAAAGATCTTGATTCCAAGTATTCAGACTTGAGCCACAAAGCAGATTTGTTTAGAAAGATCACAAAGGAGATGTGAACAGTGGACTAGGGAAGTGGGAAGCAGAGGAAAAGGGAAAAAAAAACCCTCACCTATTGTCAGAGCTTGAATCTGCTACAACCTGAAGGCTCTCCAAACACGAGCCATCATTTACATGCAGGAACAAGACTTCCTTCTGGGACCGGACTGAACGAATCCATCCCTAACAAAGAGAATATTTCTAAATGTGCATTTAAAACGAGTTAACACTTCACATTTTCATTACACATACATAGAAGACTAAAAAAGAACCAATGCACTCGTAATTCCACCTTAATAAATCAATTTGTTTTTAGTCACCCCTATGCATATATAATTTTCGTACTTCTTGTCACAGTGAGATAGTTTTGACATCCCACCTTCTTTTTGTTTTGTTAATAAAGTTCAAATCTGATGTATGCTTAATATTCTATCAGGTTGATAAGACTAATTCATATACCCAATCCCCCAATATTGGTTATCCTAGATATGTCCTCCTGCTCCTGCTCCCTCCCCAACAACTACAAATTTTCGTACCTTTGTCCTTTTATACCAAATTCCCAGAAGGAGGTTATGTGATACAGACTAGAAAACAGACTAGAAACATCTGAGATTTTCTCCCTCCTTTTACAATGTATTATACAAAAAGAGCTCTCAACATATATGAAGTGGTAACAGATTTTCAAAGACACTGAAATGAAAATAACAGCTAGTGTGAGTACACGAGATATATCAAGGAGACCAATAAAGCCAAAAATAGCTTTCACAGATCTCATCCAATATAAATTAGTTTAAAAAAGAGAATATTCTTCTAGTAGACACTGACCAACAGTGAAACAATTAATTATGCTTGGGAAATATGCTTGGGAATATATGATCCAATTTAGAATGATTGTATTGATCTTTGCTTTGTGTTCCCATTACACCCTCTAGAAACTGTTATTAAAGCTCTCCTATTACTAATTTACATATCCAGAATATTTTGAGGGCCTAGAAAGCACCCTTTTGCTGTTTTGAAGGCTACTGTCAGGCACATAGTAATCAATGTTTTCAATAAAAGGGTATCTCCCATGTGCTAAGCTTCTACTATAGGACAAGTGTTTGACTAATTTTATCTACTGTCTCATCACCTCATCACAATACCTCTATAAATTATCATCAGGCATATCTTCAAGTGAAGAACTTGAGATTCAGAGAAGTTAACTTACTAAAGGTGATACCACAGGTTTACTAGAAGCCCCTGATTTTTCTCTAGGGCTACACTGAATAAAGTGTAAATTGCCTCAGCCGTCTGTAATTTGGATCATGCCCATCTTTCTGGTTTCATCTCATCTCACCACATGCTTCCCAAAGGCCCTTTGGTCAAGCTCCATCAGTAGTACTTTCCAAAGCACCATTCTCTTTATTTGATAATAAAAGTTAACATTTACGGAGTACTCTTTAATGTGTTTCTGTTCTAAATTCTTTAATACTCCTTAATCCTCCGAAGAAATTTGTTAAGTAAATATTATCATTTTTAGAGATGAAGAAACATACTTAAACAAGTTAGGATAACCTCTCTAAATAGTCAAGGTCACAAAGTTACCAAAGTTCCAGTAGAGCTGGAAGTCAAATATAGTTCTCACTTTAAAGCTTATGTTCTTATCAATGAGATTTTTAGAATGCTACTTCTACTCCTATTTCCTCTGTCTGAGAAACAAACTTTTCAGGGCTTATTTGAAATGTTACTTCACACCTGAGGTTTTCCCTGACATTGTTAACGCAGTTAAGTACAGCCCTGTTTTCTCACAGTCCCTTATTTATACCACCTGTTCTTATCACAGTGCTGCCATTACTGGTTTTAGACATTAAACCAGGGCTGTCCAACAAAACATGTGAGCCACCTGTGTAATTTTATAATTGGAGTGTTCACATTAAAAGTAAAGAGAAATAGATTAAAATTTTATTTAACCTATTTTGCCCAAAACATTATCATGTAATCAAAATAAATACATTGAGACATGCTGCATTCTTGTTTGTGCTTCAAAATTGGCGTGTATTTTACATTAATAGTGTCTCTTTGATTTGAACTAGCCACATGTAAAGTGTTTAGTGCCACAATGGTTGATAGCTACTATATTAGACTTCACAGCACTAAAACGGAAATCTCTAGTCTAGGTAAGTTTTGTTCTTTTCATCTTTAAATCCTCTCTTGACTAGCGCACAGAAGGTATCATTAATATATCAAAAAGATCAATGCAAAAAAAAAAAAAACTCCTTTTAATTTGGATCCTTTAAAGAATATGAAATCCAAAGAAATCTAAAGGGGTCGACTGATCACTGCTAAAATATAAGGATATAAAAGGGCAACAAATAACTGGATCAGTGTTTTCAGCAGTCTAAAAGTTAAGTCAAACCAACTTATCTGTCCTGCTCCTTTAAGGGGAAATGTAAGTTGCTGCAAATATTATTAGCAAGAGAATTAATGGCAGCTAACATTTATTTATTGTGGGTCACTGTTCTAAATGTCTACACCTATCAACTCATTTAATCTTTAGGACTCTATGAAGGAGAGGTCTATTACCACCTCCATTTACATTAAGAGGAAAGCGAGGTGTAGAGCATGCCTATAATTAATTCAGATTTAATTCTAGGCAGCTTGACTCCAGAGTGTTTTCAGACTGCTACACTCTACGTTCCCTCAATTTATTAAAGTTATATGGAAAGCCCCACTTTAGACAGAGTTAATAAGGTTGAATAAAAGGTGAGGTTTAATGAATAAACAGTTACTGTCTAGCTATGTGTGACTAACAAGTTAGGTGAAACATCGTTTCTACTCTCAAGGCCTTAGCTCAAAACCATCACTACAGAACTGGAAAAGCATTTGAGGAATAAAGGATCGGGGACTCATTCGTTTATTTTCCTGTGTGATTAACAAGTGCACAGGTGAAGGCCTCATATGAAAGCAAACTTCCTGCACTTTATAAGCATCAAACAAGTTTTGCACAAATTAACAAAAGTGTTAAGTACACGATGGCCTGCGTGTTGTCACGCTTCCCTGCCAGTCTGACCTGCCAGTCCAGGCGAACCTCGCGGCGAAGGAGCCGCGTGAGTCCCCAGAGAGAAAAAAACCCCCCTTCCCGGTCACCAACCTGGACCTTAACGCGCTCCCCACTCGCGTTCTGGGCCCCGAGCGCCTCCCGCACGCTCAGCTTGGACGCAGCCGTGTGCCTCGGGCAGGGGGCGGTGGAGCAGGCGCGCAGGGCGCGCAGCAGGCCCCGGGCCCCCCACATGGCGCCGCCGCCCCAGGCGCCTCCGCTCAGCCCCCCGCCCCGCGCCGGGACCCGCCCCACTTCCCCACGCGCCCCCAGACGCTCCTTTTCGCTCCCAGCTGTTCCCTTCCCGCGCAGGCCGCGGCTCTGCCCCAGAGAACCTCGCCTCCGCTCAAGAAACACTTCTAGCCCGCACGCCGCGCAGACACCCCGCTGGGGCCCGCCCGGACACCCCGCGGCCCCGCGCCGGCGCTAAGAGTACACGTCGACCCCAGACCCCGCTGAAACACGCGCGGCCACTGTCACCACGTCATCACGCCGCCAAACGTCACCACGCCGCGAGGAGGTTAAGAGGGAGCATGCGCATTTCTGACCCTAGTTAACATAGGAGGCGGGGCAGAGGCAGGGGAAGGGGGCGGGACGGGGGGGCGGGCCGATGGAGGGGCGGGGCCGATGGAGGGGCGGGGCCAGGGTCAGCAATGGCAGTAAGATTTACCGCTGAAGCGAGCACAGGGCCCACTTGGGGAGGGCTGTGAGGTTTCTCTAAAGCTGCCAGGTGAAGCCGAGGAACACTGAGAAGCAAGGGTGACAGATGCCGAGGAACAGTAACCAGAAAGAGAATTATTGACAGTGTTAGCCTAAGGAAACCAACCAGTTATTCCCGAGTTCTAAGCAGAGGAAAATGAGCTAGCCATTGTGTGGTACCAGACAGCTAAGTGACAAGTGTATGAAAAGGTGATGGGTTCCCTGGCAGAGTCTAAGCATGGCATGCCAGAGGTGGCTGGCTGGATAAGGTAGCATCCGATGGGAAAGTAGAATAACTGAACAAATCTTGATATGGGAGTCAGAGAAGGCCTGGTGTGAGGATGGTGGCGAGCCACTGGAGCAACATTTCTTTGCCTTCCAGAGTCTCCAAGTCTCTCTCTTTCTTTCTTCCCTGCTACAATGATCTGCATTTGTTTGACCTGGAAACAACAATCCTTTTATACATGGGGTTACCTTTTCAATGCATTCCCGCAAAATTATTTTTGTAACTCTGACACAAAAGGTTTCTGTTTAAAGGAAGTAAAGGTTAGTTATTTAAAGTAACTACTATTATGCTTATTTTACACATAAGAGAACTTGGGCACAGAAAGATTGAATGACTTGCTTAAATCTCGCTCCTGAAAGAGCGAGATTTAAACCTAGAAATCCTAGCTCCTTGCACTAAACTGTTATGCTACGGTGTCTCAAGGTGTGAAATAAAACCATGATCCCTTCTATGGGGGAGCTAATGGTCTAGATGTAGAGATTAACAAGAAAATAGATCATTGCAAAAAAAAAAAAAACCAAAAACCAGTAAGTGAGCTAAGTGGAATGGTGATCTAGAAGAGGTGGAGATAATTGAGTTTTTGAGGAAGATTGGAATTTTGCTAGGTTGGCATGGAAAAAAGAGTATTTCTTGCTAGAAGGTTGGGCAGGAGGGCAGGCAGTTTGTTCTCAAGACTGGGAAGTCAATATCTCTCTTGAAAATACCATAGTTCTCAGGCATTTCTTGAGGAAAGAAATAAGAAAAATTCCAGCCAAATGCCTTCAGAATGATGTAGCTATGGACTTTTAAAAATAAATTCACCTTTGGAGTATGAGTTGCTAAATCTGGGGAACAAGACAATCTGGGGGTACATAGCAACGATCTGTTTCCCAATTCAAACCTCCTCTTTGACTATATCTACCCTGACCAAAAATAGTGAACAATTGGCCCACTTGCTACCCAGGCCATTGGTCTGTCTTGCCTCCTTTCTCCACCCCTTTCCCTTAAGTGTTTCCTAAGAACTGAACTCTGAGTCTCAGAGTGAAGACCCTGTGATTCCTTTACACTCTCCGCCATCATGTGGTGAAGTCAAAGGGTTAATTATTTTCTAAGTAGGGATCATTACCCACAAGTAAGCTGAAGGCAAAGGAACCAGCAAGTGTAATGGAAGACTGGCAACAATTAACTAGAAATGTATACCATTGAAAACTGACAATAGTCTTTATGTGTTTGCTGGAAGATCGAGCCACTCCATGTATCTTCTGTTATGTCAAATTATATCATTTTTATGCTATTATTTTTAATATAGGAATGTCACATCCCCTCCGAAATTTTACCATCTTTGAAGGCAGTAGCCAGAGTGGTGTTTGAAATGAATACATTAACATGTCGATAATAATGATGGCTAGTGCTATAGAATGCTTACTATCTTCTAGGAATCCTTCACATATTAATTCATTTAAATCTCACAATGGCCTTCTCAAGTAAGCTTAGCATCATCAGCTCCAGTTTTCAGAGAAACTGACGCTCCTAAAGATTTCAAGTTTGTACCACATTACACTGGCAGTCTTTCTCCAGAGTCCATGCTCTTACCCACTTGCAACTCCAGTCATGAAATAACCCTTCCACTGCTTCCCCTACAATATGAAGAGCACTTGCCTTCTTTCACATGCCCACCTGGTTCCTGGAATCCATGGCATGCCTCAAAGTGTCTTGGTTACCTTTTGATGCTGCAGATCTGTGCAACATACACTGTTAGCAATGCTCTTCAACTTTTGGGGAAGGCTCAGCATGATAGGTTTCAGCTTAACTTGCAAAGCTTTACGGATTATAAATGGCAAGCACTGTTCTGATACTCCATCCTGTGATGGGGTACAACTCAGCATTTAGCGTTATCATTCTACTTGAATCTACTTATGAAATTGTCAACACCCCAAACTTGATTTCAAGGTCATGACCTCAGAGTATTTGATGCAGAAATTATGGAAACATTAGATGTAGAAAAGGGATGGATGAATAGTATTAAGGATCTTGGGTTTTTCTGAGGGAGCTAACAATTGTAAATGCAATTTATCTTGAAAAATGGAAAGGCACATTAATAGAGCAAGAAAAGAAATCACATTTGTAGTTTGGAACTCATAATCTAGAAAGAGACGCTGACAAGTAAATGATCAATAAAAATAAATACAGAAGAGCATTAGTAACTAAATCTTGGGGAACAAAGCAGTTTTCCTAAGAAAGGGACACTATGCTAAGCCAGAGGATGAATATGCAAAGCTGAAGGAAGTCAGAAACATTCTGTTCTGTGGTCCTAGGAGCTTACCTCTATCACATCTGTAAACACTCCAGGAGCTGTCAATTCAAGATTTGTGCATTTTACTTATGCATACACCTCAATAAAATACAAATTATATATTGAAAATAGAAGAATGAGGTCTGTTGCTAGAATTAATGAATTCTTTCTCCCTGTTTAGTGCAAGAGACACTTTTCTCTGTAAAGCACATTAACTCTTTTCTACATAAAGTTTAGAGAGAACAATGCCTTAAAACCTGGTATCTACACCTAGATTTGTCAAACCAAATATTAATGCTTTGTCATATTTCCTTCAGACCCCTATTATCAAAAAATAAAAATAAAAACCAGATACAATGAATCTCTCTTGGACCCTTCTGCAATCCCACTTCCCTCCTCTTGGGTAGAGGTAACCACTATCCAGAGTTTAGTGTTTATCATGTCCACATTTTAATTTTATACACACATATATGTGTGTGTATACACATATATCTATAAATTTTTTTTAAAAGATTTATTTATTTATTTATTTATACAAGCACTGGGTACAGTCAGAAGCGCGGGAAGGTGAGAGAATTCACCAGAGTCAGAGCGGGGAGCAGAGCAGGCAGGACTGAAGTACACTGCTGAGGGGAGCAGAGGGCAGCAGGAGAGGTCTGCGCGCCATGTGGGACCCTCGCCCGGTGGCTGGGGATGGAACCGGCGCTGCAGAGGCTGCGGGCAGCTTCGCAACCCAGCGCTCCACCGCTGTGCCATGAGGGGAGGCCCTCTATAAATATTTTTAAACTTTAAATAAATTGTGCCTCGCTCTATGTCTTATTTTACAACTTAGTTTTTTTAAAGATTTATTTCTTTATGCATACAAGACCTGGGGTACAGGCCAGATGTGTGAGGGGTGAGAGGATGAGAGGATTCACCAGAGACAGAGTGGGGAGCAGAATAGGCAGACTGACAGAAGTACACTGCTGAGGGAAGCTGCGGGGCCAGTCAGGAGAGGTCTGCTGCACCATGTGGGTAGCTCCCTGGCCGGGGATCAAACTCATGCTGCAGTGGCTGCATCTTAACCCCTTGGCACCACCAGGAAGGCCCTTGTTTTTGAGATATACCCATGTAGCTCTGCCTTATTCTTTTTAAACATTTCATTATATGATTATATGATTAATTATTCATCCTAATTCTGCTAGAATTTTGGGTATTTTAAATGTTTTCCTATGGACTTATAAAGTTAATGAACTTTAAGCTCAGAGTGTCTTATTACATGTGGGTCTCACCACCCCGCTCCCCATTACTCCCCTCTTCATCGCAGTGCTGGGGATCACTGGGATTGCAGAGTGACAGGAAGCTATCAAGAATTTCTAAAGCAACTTAGAATAAAGTGATATGCATTTCCAAGGCTCTAGAAATTTCTTCACTCACTCAATGAGTAGTGAATATTTATAATTTTGTGTTATTTTTCTTAAGCAGAACTTTCCAAATTATGTATGTGTCAAGCTCCACAAAGTTGGATCTGCCCTTCATTACAAGAATGCTGAAGAAATACACTGGAAACATACGAATAAATTTCTTAGAATCATCAGCCTAGGGTATATGAACCCTCAGCTTTACTAGGTCCTGCCAATTTGCTCTTCAAACTGGTGATTCCAGTTTTTACACCCTCTACTAGGCTTGTAAGAGTTCTCAGAGCTCCATACCTTCAATGAGAACTGATGGAGTCAGATTCTAATTTTTACCAATGTTAGTGGGAAAAAGTATCTCAGCGTTTTAGAGTCCATGCATTGAT